GCCGAACAGCAGACAAAAGCAGCCTCTCCGCCCCTCCTCCCCCTATACATGCTGGGCTCCCTGGGCAAACAAAGACTCCACCAAAACAAACAAAGTGCTGGCCTCATTGTGTTAGCAAAAAAAGGACCCTCCTCCTAGAACCCTGGGTGGTGTGTGGAAATAAAGCTATTAGCTCAAAGCATGGTGCAGAGCTGTTTGGTATTGAACAGCAGACAAAAGCAGCCTCTCCGCCCCTCCTCCCCCTATACATGCTGGGCTCCCTGGGCAAACAAAGACTCCACCAAAACAAACAAAGTGCTGGCCTCATTGTGTTAGCAAAAAAAGGACCCTCCTCCTAGAACCCTGGGTGGTGTGTGGAAATAAAGCTATTAGCTCAAAGCATGGTGCAGAGCTGTTTGGTATTTGATGAGTTACTCCTTTAGTCCTGAGTTTGTCACAGGGACAGAAATAGATGTGAAATCTTCTGAACAGGGGAACAGACAGCAAAACAAACATTAGAGGGGAGTTAACCTTTCCCTATGCTATCCAAAACTAAAAAAAAATGTTTGGCTAGAGTTTCCCCTACAATATGTACCAGTTCCGACTTACATACAAATTCAACTTAAGAACAAACCTACAGTCCCTATCTTGTAAGTAACCCGGGTACTGCCTGTACTTCAAAGGACCTATGCCAATTAACACCTGTTGAGGATCCGTCTCTTGATGTTTACAGTTTTCAGAATAACTTTACCAATATTTCACACGTCCTCATATTCAGAAATGGAAATGACATAACGTGAAAAGAGAAACTGTTTTGGTATTTCCTATCTGACTGAATTCTGAAAGTACTGCAAATCTCCTATGAAAGTCTCATCTAATGGGATTTCTGGTCTGAGTCACTAAAGTTGAGAACAAAATGAAAGCGACCTCTGATAAGCTTTTAGATACATCATCTCCATATTGGTACACACAACTAAATTCATTCTGTACATGGACATAAAAAATTAGAGGGAATTAAGGGAAACTGATGAGAACATCCTAAAGCAATAGGAAAAGATTTAATTCTTACTTAGTCATGTGTTCCCATGTTTCTTGTCCATTGTCTTTTAAGTTAAAAGAAAATACACTCTAAATTATACAAGATAGATAAGCATTTCTTCTAACCAATATTTTTATATGAATAAGTATCATGGTATGAAAATGTACAAAACACTAAGTGAGCGATAGTGTCAAAATTACATTTAACAGCTGGATCATAGTGGTAGGTTATGAGCTAACAGCATGAACCATATTAGCCAATTAAATTGAATTATGAATACTCTTTTTTTAATGAGAGCTGTTGTCCAGTAGGAACTGAACTGTGACCTCATTAGACTCTGAGCTGGATATGAACAGTAACATTTCAGTTCTTAAGAACTGGCTCAATTGGAATCTCTAACTAAGCTTATTAAGAGCTTTAATCACAAACAAATGGCTTATGATTAGTGCTCAAGCTAATGGAAGCAGGAAGTGGTTGAATGTTAAGAAGGTCATAATTTTTAACTCTGAAGTGATGCATGAAATATATATAATGTTCAAATATACTATCCAAGGGTATATGGGCATCTTCTTTAAGGAAAAAGTTCTCTTAAGCAACAGAACACTCCCCACGTAGAGCATAAAATATACAGTGTCTCAATTTTGTCATGACAAGGTCTTACATATTTATATATGTACAGTACAGAAGTTTTAGATTTTTCATTAATCTGTATTAGAATAAGGAGCATACAAATTATTAGAATTAATAGATTTTTTTAATGATTGAGTTTCCATGAAAAAATAGGGTGAGAAATCACCTATATTTTCATAATAGTCACCATCCTACTCTACTCCTCTTTTCTTCCAAATTTGCAATATATGTTGAACTTTTGGCATTCATGCTTTAAAATCTATATCTTTATAAAAGTGATACCATGTATGATAGCCTAGGTTTTGTGGCTATTTCTATCTCTACTGTTAATACTTATTTATATTTTTGTGCACCTTGCTGCATCTCTCATGGATCAAAACTCTATGGCACTATGTGCTGTACAAACAAAATAGCAAAAGCTTAATACTGGCTTAAAAAATATTGCTTGGAGTTCTTAACAAATTGAATCACCACTGGAAAAATTGGGTTTGTGTACAGGAATATTTGAAAATTTCAAGAATTAGAGTTTTATGAAAACATTTATTAAATGTTACTATAGAGGTCTGCCTATATCACCCAGCACTTTCCTTTTTTCAATTACATTAGACGTGTAAAGTAAGTGTTGCATGCCTCATATAAGGAAAGTAATGTAAGACCATTTTAATTAAAATTCTTTTGAAATAAAACAAGCAGTCAACAGCTTCAAATTTGAACTTAATTTCATTGTTTAGGAATTAAGTTAGTTTCAAAATCAAACTAAGCAATATTATGTGGAAGATGCTGACTGGATATATTAATTTTTCCCACCAATACACTTCGTGAACACACATCTAGTTTTTGATTGCTTATTTTTTAAAGGAAGTAAAATTCTTGCAGTGCTCTTTTCAAAAGAGCTCAGCATCCAACAACCTAAACAAATTGTTGGATTTTCATAGATTTAAAGTGTTCTTAGTAGACGCTCTTGGATATGGAGCTTATTTGAAAATGTGAACCCAAGTCGGGTTTTGAGTATGTAAGAATCTGGCTCTTAATCTCTAGATTTATCTCCCCATGTCTCCTTTGGAAGACTTATTTTCACCAAAAAACTAGATATAAGCATAAGAAAGATTGGTAATTGCCAACTAGGCCCTCTTTGAAGTAGACCTTGAGAGAATCTTAATATTGGGTTCCAGTCCAGGGCCCCTTGGTCATTTACTGAGGCCTGGTCTACACTACACAAACTAAACAAGATACATGGCAATGGAGAATCAGACATGTAGCACCTCTTCCAGCTACACAATACAAATAAATCCTATTTAGATTAAGACCCAAAGAAGGTCAGCCATGCACTGTCCAAGATCAGCATTGTAGAAGCTGCTCAGAGCAATTAATCTTGTAAACCAGAAAAAAGAAGAAAGATTCA